CTCTAGACACCAATCAGCTTCCTGAGTCAGCTAATAATGCTTTTTTGATGGTGGGTAATTCCATATATTTCCAAAATTCTAAGTTAGAAAGACTATAAAATGTATCTATAACTGGCCCTGTGGACCAGAAATTATGCAACTACTCAAAGTCCAAATGAATAGCTGTTTCTGGGTGTATTGGAGGTGATACAGGCACTCCAGGGTGCTGTGTGTAGGCACCGGGGTTTTCATGTATGTGCTCTGTGTGTGTTAGCCTTTTGGGAACTTGTTCTTTTTCCAGGATGGAATGACTAAGCGCTACATTTTTCTTCCCCAGAACATTCAGAGACATTCAATGTTCCAGCCATTTGAAATGTGCATTACACTCTTATATTTATACCAACTTAATTAGAAAGTTCTAATTGCGTTTCGATTTCTAATTTCAGTAAGAATTAGCCTTGCCCCAATCTTAATATCCTGAAGTATCCGCAATAGACATGTAACAATCTTTTTCAAGATTAGAGAGTAACTACTTTCTCTGATGCTGTGATCCATGGACACATTGGCTTAATTACTTCTAAACTAGTTCTGACAACCTTCACTGCACCTCAGGCTGCTTTAACTTGCCCCACATGATACAGCTGCCTTTGGTCTTTCTTGCCTCCAGACCAAACACCACCATGGGATCTGTCTTCCAACTGGTTGCTACAATTGTGCCATCTTCCTGAAGAATAATCTCTCAGAGAGGATGGATGGAAATCACTAATTTCCAGAGTGAGACAAAAATGTATTTGGACTAGAAGCACACTCTGGACTTTTCCTGAGATGTAAATGAATCTCATTGAAACACAGAAGGTGAGCTGGGGACCTTCCAGAAAAAGAATAAGTATAAAACATATAAAAACAAGGAGGCAGAAAATCACAAGGTATTTTTGGCAACAGGCTGTCCACAATGACCAGAGATATGACCAGCACCACAGGTATAAAGGTGAAGTGAGAGATGAAGCAGGAAAGAGACGTAGGACAGGTCAGGACCAGCAGTGGAGGGCAGGAAGGACAGGTTGGGTGGCAGCACTGGCTAAAGTGCCTAACTTAACATATGAACTTTAATCAATGGAAAGTAACCTAATTTGTGGAAGGAACACCTGGTAAATGTAGGGAAGTTAGGTTGGAAAGGACTCATCACAGAGACAGGCTGTCTCTCTCCTTTATGCGGCAGAGACAGCACTGCAGCAGTAGCCTCGTGTTGAAACAGAAAGGGATGGAGTGCAGGAGGGAATAAAAAGCTGTCACATGAATGAAATGATGGACTGAGTTTTGGGTCATTCCCAAGAGCAAAAATCCCATCCCAAGGAATGGGAATAACATGAAGGCATATCATTTGGCTTCCATGTAAAGACAACCCCAAGGATGATAATTATGAGAAGTGATGGTACAGGCTTCTTGTGGGTGGCGAGCACCCTAATGTTGGCAAGTCTCAAGCACAGCAGGATCTTGATTCTTTGATATGTTTGTCAGAGAGCTGTTGCCTTGCTATGTTCAATTTACATGAACTTTACAATGATTAGTCACAATTTCTTCTCTAATTCTGGGTCTCTTCAGGATTTATGCCTAAATAAACAGGTGGTAGATAATCGAAGGAGAACTCGGGATGTTGAACTCTCATTTTTCCAGAACCTACAAGAGGCAAGGCATGGTGTTAAGCATTTTGCACACAGCATGATTATCAGAAAAGGAACAAATGAAATGCAGAATATTCTTAGTTTGAAAGCCACTCTGAATTAGTGTTTGCTTCTTCAATGCCAGAGAAGATTTTTAACACCCATGAATACAACCCTACCAGGGTTCTGGTTGCATCTTGATGTTCTTTCTCTGATGTTGGAAGTAGCATGGATGATATGACTGAAGCGGATTGAGGAGGAATATGGGAAAGTAAGCCAAGATCCCATTGACATTTTGCCTAGAAGATGTATATCTTAATAGAAGGGAGAAATAATAAAATGGAAGCAAGGGGGTACAAACAGAAATAAAACTCTCAGTATTTTCAATAACAGTAAGTTTTATCAAACTCTTATGTAAGCCAGGTACTACATGAGGCACATTAATTAAATAATCCCACTTGTTCTTCATAACCTACCATGGAGAACTTTAGCATAATCTTCACTTCATAGACACATAAACTAGGTTTGAGTGTTTAGAAAATCACTTATGGTCATACCACCTGCAAAATCATGCAAAATCCATTACTCCTAACTCAAATGAGACAATAACCAAGAATCTAAATGGAGCCTGGACTAGGGTTCTGAATTTACATTGACTCCTAATTCATTTATTGAGTGTTGGATTCATGATCCTCTCAGTTTGACAGCTCTGGGTCATTGTTCTCCCCTCCATGATGGTGATAAGAGATCCTACCTAGAAGATCTAGGGGAGCGCTCCTCACTCCCAATCTGGAACACTACCTCCTCCAATAATAGAACTCACACCAGTAGACAAGTGGTTCATTTGTTATCAGGTGTCCCAGGTTAAAATTCAGATTCATCAGAAGAAGTAATACAATAGCCATGAATAAGCTTTCCAACTGAGTTAAGTGATTCAAGTTTGGTGACTGGGGAAAAGACAGGTGAGCACAGAGCTAGGGTTGAGACAAAAAGGGGGAGACTGAAGGAGAAAAGAAAGAGAAGATCACTAAGGGTTATATTTCCTGAACCCTCCTATCTGGGAAGAGACCCAGCCCCAGGCTCCTATCACGACGTCTACTCCTTCAACACAGCACCTTCATATCTTAATGTCTTATTCCAATGCCTGTGAATTCTTGATAGATTTGAGATACTGAGAATTTAGCAAGAGAACTAAAGAGAGCATGGACTGGGTCTGTTGCTCATGGCTGTGACCCTAGCATCAGATCTGTCCCACAGTAAACACTAGAGCCATTGGTTAAATGGATGCAGGAATGAGTGCGTGTGGACAACAACCTGTTAACTACAGGGTTCTGCCTCAGGATGGTCTTCCAAGCATCCCTGGCTGAGAGGTTTGTATACTTCCATGTCGATTATCAAATATTTGTGGATTTTTGTAATTCCTGTGTGAGTCATTTACCAGCAACCTGTCCTTTCTTCTAGTCCTTTCCTTTTATCCTTTTAGGAAGAAAACACACAGAACTATCTGACCTCCTAGTGGAACTATCCACTAAAACATAAGGTTGATTGTGGTAGAAAAAGCACATTCTCTGGTATCAAAAGACCTGATTTTGAATCCTGTCAACACTACCATCTAAAGTATGCCCTCTCTGAACCTCAGTTCTCATCAGTAAAATGAAAATAACAATAGGCATACAATGAGAATTATATAAAATTACTTGCTAAGGCATCTCAAATTTGGTAGGCATCTGGTTAGTGCTAGTTCCCTCCTCTCTTCCTACTGAGTGGAAAAAAATGAATTAACAAAGAGTTACCTTGCAAAATTTAGACTTCTCAGTCTCTACCAGATCTAGAAAGACCCAGAGTTTAGAACCCAGCTCCATCAATTTAGAGATATGGAAGAGCGACAGAGACGATCGGGAGCCAGCCAGCTTTACACCAGCAATTGTCAAGGCCAGAGAAACCAGCCCCTATTACCACACCAGCACTGCCTAGTTAGTCCCTTCTGCTGCACTGGGATTGTCAGGTAGGGGGGTACACACCCAGCTTCCACAGATGGAGCCCTCATGTTTCCAAGGGCATTTGACTCATATTAACACCACCCTCCCGGCAGAGTGAGGCTAGCCTGTCCTCCTCACCGATCAAACATGCAGCTCCAAGCCCTGCTGAGCTGCATCGGTCACCCGCCTTCCTCCCCACCCCACCCCTGCCCCGCCCCGGCCATCCAGCTCCAACTCTTGGAAGTAAAATCACCCTCTGAGATGCCACCACAGGGTACTCTGCAGCTCTCTTACATTCTTACATCAGGAACTTGTCTGTCAAGGTGAGGCTGCTGCATTTGGGACACCTAAGACCCCAGTCAGGGTGATCTCAGGGTGGAGATGGACTGTCATTGTGAGTGAGTAGGGGTTGCAGCTCCTCTGGAGAATGGCCACAGGCACCAAAAAAGGGAAGATTTGCACTTGAACAAAGGCCCAGATTCTAGGGTTTCTGAACACCTAATCTATATACCTGTGGATAGTGAGGGTTTCTCTGTTAGTGTAGTGAAGTTGTTTTCCATTTAAAGGTGAACCTTTTATGCTGAAATTACAGCCTTACTTGTTTTCTGCTGTTAAATGTACTTTACTGAATGTTGTGATGATGACAGTTCAATTTAGCTTTTCAATGTCCTTATTTGGCACAATAAGAGACTGGGAAAAAAACCCATATCAGTCCCCAAATTTTGTTTAAAAATGCGGAAGTCTGGGAACCACAGATCTTGAGGATTTGTACAAGAGTCCTGAGGTTGGGCTCACCCTGCTAAGCCATTCTCAGGACACCAACTGTGTTCAAGGGCCGCTGTCCCCTGAGGGACATGCCCCAGACAGATCCTGGGTAAGGAGGGGAGGCACAGTCACCTCTCAGGCTCTCAGAATCTGATAACAAAGAGGCCCTGGAATGAGCCAACCAACCCTCCTGGGGCCAAATCTGATTGCGTGATCTGCAAGCTATTGATTTGCCCAGGGCCAACATCCAGTTTGCTTAGCAGTTGTATTTCTCCCTTAAAATGGTTTATAAATCAGATCCCTGAAAAGCACAATTAGGATGTTCTTGCCTGTAGGCCATGGGTGCTGACAAATGGGGGTTTTGGATACTCAAGGACAGGGGCAGCCCCTGAACTAAAGAGCGCCCGTCAAGGTGGGTACTCCAGGGGATCTCCTGGCAGCCAACCAGCCAACCACCCCCAGAGACACCTGGTGCCCCTCGATACCCATTCTCTTTCAACTGCAGCAAAGTTCACTAGTGAATCTGTCTCTAAGGAGGCATTTGGACAACATCCCTGAACCAGATACCATTAGGATTTAAATTGTTTCACGCCAGTGAATTTGGAGTCACTCTTACCACGCTGCTTTCTTCACGTGTAGGTGGGGCCACCTGCTCAGAATCACCAAAGCACTTGTTGAAATTCAACTCCCAGGTCCTCCACCAGACTCTCTGGGGTGGGAAACAGGAATCAATATTCTTAGAGCAAGTGGTTTATTTTTTTTTTTTTTTTTAAATTTTCTAGAGGCATGTCTTATTTATTTATTTATTTATTATTTGTTTGTTTGTTTGTTTGGTTTATACATGCACTGGGTACAGTCAGAAGCGCGGGAGGGTGAGAGAATTCACCAGAGCCAGAGCGGGGAGCAGAGCAGGCAGAAGGACTGAAGTACACTGCTGAGGGGAGCAGCGGGCGGCAGGAGAGGTCTGCGCGCCATGTGGGACCCTCCTCCGGTGGCCGGGGAGCAGCCGGGGATCGAACCGGCTGCAGAGGCTGCAGGCAGCTTCGCAACCCAGCGCTCAACCGCTGCGCCACTGGGGAGGCCCTCAAGTGGTTTATTTTTAAAGATATTCTTTTTGTGAACAACTACCATAGAGATCGAAGACAGAAAATGGGCTTCCAGATGACGGAAAATCTTTTGTCTTTTTCTGTCCAGCTCCAGAAAGCTATTGATACTTTCTTATTCTTTGTTGTTGTTGTTGTTGTTGTTGTTTTTGTTATTGTCAATATTTTTTTGTTATTATCAAGATAACACCAAAACAGGTTTTTTTTCAGAGAATGGTCCTCAGAGAGTCTAAAATAAGCCAAGGTTGAGGTAGTTTGGGCAGCTGTAACAAAATATCATAGACTGGGTGGCTTAAACAATGTATCAGTCAGGCTTCATTACTTGTAACAAATGTATGATACTAATAAGGTATCCCTGATAGGGATTTGCTCTGTATTTGCCAAATTTTCACTTTAAATCTAGAACTATTCTAAAATAAAATGATTATTTTTAAACTCTATACTAATAAATATATTCTGGCATTTATACATACATATTAAATGTAATAAAAAGCATATGCATGCTGTACATGTGACATCCCTTCCCACATAGTTTTATAATCTTTTCCACCCAAGGCAATGCTAATCTCTACGACAAAGAATTCAGGAGTCAGTTACTTAAACTCTGCCCAGTTTGCCTGCATTGCACTCCGGGGGTGCTGTTTACACTACAGTCTCTGTGAATGGAGACCCAGAGTCACATTGAGTGCTGTGGTGCATAAGAGATTTGCAATCTTTGTCCAGAATTTCATCATCCCTAAAACAAAGTACTATTAAAACCATGAGTGAGGCAATGTATATAAAGCATTTAACACAGTACTTGGTGTATGGCAAACACTGTATCAGTGTTAGCTATAGCTGTGCTGGTGCTGGTGATCTAGAGGTGCATCTGCAGAAGCCCTTGTAAGTAACAAAACAGGTGCTTATTTAGTTACTAAATAAAAGGTACATTTATGCGCCTTACACCATATTCAACCAAAGTCCCCCTAGAACCTGGATTATCACCACATAGGAATTCCATTTTAACCAAGATGCCATCTCCACCAAGTCCCTCTCTTTCCTAAACACAGTGAATGGGGAGGGACTAGGAGGCCTCACCAAGGGAAGAGTCAGTGGGACTGGGTCAAAGTCTATGCCAGGAGACCTCTCTCATCCTCTACGCCCATTTCCACCTGCAAATCCTGACTATTCTGTCTAATTATACTCTGATTTCTTTGTAGCTTCTCTATCCAAGCTATGCCACTGGAGTATAGTTAATGTTATGTGTCAGCCTGACAGGGCTATTAATCAAACACTACTTTATGTTGTTGGGGAGGTATTTTGTTGATGTGATTAACATTTACAATGAATTGACTTTAAATAAAGCAGATTACCCTCCATAATGTGGGTGAGCATCATCCAATCAGTTGAAGGTATTAAGAGCAAAAGCTGAGAAGCTCTGGAGAAGAAGGAATTCTGCCTCAAGACTACACAGCAACTCTTACTGGCTTACTGGAGTTTCCAGTCTGTCAGACTGCCCTACAAATCCTGGACTCACCACCTCCACAATTGTGTGAATCAATTCCTTACACCTCTCTCTCTCTCTCTCTCTCTCTCTCTCTCTCTCTCTCTCTCTCTCTCTCTCTCTCTCTCTCTCTCTCTCTCCCTATACACACATACCCCTTACTGGTGCTGTTTCTCTGGAGAGCACTGACCAACCTATCAATCCAACCTCCATCATGTCTTGTACAGATGAAAGCGTACCCTCTTATCTAGGCCCAGACTTATATATCTAACACTGTCACCCTTCTCCCCAGAACCAAAGCTGGATCACATCCCAGCCTGCCTTACCCCTTTGGTAACTTACTTTTGCATTTCCAGTAAAGGTCCAGTTCCCAAAAGCCTGGGCCAAAGGACCATAGAGACTGCCACCCTGCCACATCTCAATCCCAACCTTCCAGCTACAAAATCTTCTCTTGGCTTTTCCAGTGGGCCCAATCACTAGGACCTTAGGGCATTATGCTCTTCATATGCCATCCACCCTCCACCCTTCATGTGGTGGCCTAGCCCCCAGTTACCTCATCACAGACTCCCTTGAGTAAAAGCCCCTGGGATTCTCTACCACCACCATTGGTTTGGTTTCTTTATGCATTTTGACATATTTATGCTTCTATATTTAGTGGCACACCTCAGTGATAGTGCAGGTTTGGTTCTAGACCACCACAATAAAGCTAGTTACATGAATTTTTTGGTTTCCCAGTGCACAACAAAGTTATGTTTATACTATACCATAGTTTATTAAGTATGTAGTACCATATGTCTAAGAAACAATACACATACCTTTATTCAATATGACAGATATGAAGTGAGCACATGCTGTTGGAAAATGTGCTGATAAACGCATTCGCCTTTTGTGCAAGGTCGCCACAAATCTTCAATTTGTAAAAATACACAACTATCTGTGAAGTGCAATAAAGCAAAGCTCAATGAAGACCAAGCATGCTGTACTGGCAGGTGCATTTGTCTCTAATCAGACTGCCCCACTGCACTTTTAGCTTTTAAAGGGCTGGCATCGTGTCTTTTTTGTTTTCCATTCTATCTCCAGATTCTAGCACAAAGGAGGGGCTTCATTAACAGTTGGTGGAGGAATGATTTGGGTCAGGCAGAATCTACATGGCTCCTTTCACACATTCCCCACCCAAACCTAAAGGTGCTACTCAATTCAGGGCCACCCTCATCCTAAATAGGTGACCTTGTTAACACTATACAGTAACACATAACCATTCTAAAGTAGAAATTTACATGATTCAGTATCTGAGCAAAGTCAAGTCCAGGAAACCTACTTAAGAGGCAAATTAATAAAATAGAAATTCCATTAAAGAGTGCCCCAAACAATTGTCCACAGCAATAACTACAAAAAATTTTTGTCTTCCTCACCACCACCACCCCATTCTCCTACCCTATTACTCCCCTAAGGCCCTCTCCAACCTAGACTCTTTTTCTTCATCTAATTCACACAGACATTCTGTCTCTATTGTACAGTCAGCTTAGCTTTTATTCCAGCAATAAAGACCCCTTTTTTGGCAAAAGAATAAGATTACATAAAAGATGATCCATTACTAGATTCTGTGGCCAGCCTGGGGAGGTATGAAAATCTGTCAACATTCCCACATTAACAATGTTTGATCTCTCACACACAACTCACTAAAGACTTCAAGTGATTAACATCTTTTTTTTATATAGTTTCTTATGAGACAGGTATATAGCATTAGTCAATTTGTTAATGAAACTATAGACTGACAGCCTATGGGGGTCATAATGTGATAGCCTATTCTCTATACTGAGAAACTTTTGACTGAGGAACAGAGAGTGGGATGTTTGTCTTCCCCACATATTTCAGTCAACTGAGAGTGTCTTTGGCCTCAGAGTTTGAGACAGAAAACACCTGTGGAAATACAAGAATGAGTCCAGATAGAAACTGGAATCCAAGATTTGGTCACATTCCAAGTCACCCATGTAGATAGAATTGTCTGGGTCTGATGTTTTAAGAGATGCTATTTTTCAATAAGTTATCTGCCATTATTAAATGCTGTGGACAATTTTGTGCTTGATATTTGTGTTCATTCTTGAAAAATAGTGGTTCCCCTGCTCTGTGTGACATTTCTCTATTCTTCTTCTTAGCTCATCTGACCAAAGAGAAAGAAGTGCCAGAATTTCAAATAAGAAAAGGACAGATTTATTTTCTATTCCTATTTCAACCCTGAGTGACTTAAACAAGGCAATTGCCTTCCCTGTACCTTAATTTTTCAATTTAAAATGAGGTTAACAATATCTGTCTCTTACCCCAAGTCCCAGAGGTAGAAAGAATACACTTTCCAGAAACACCTTTACAATGAAACTACTGCACATAGAAAATGTGAAATGTCAACATCTTCTATAAGCCACCAGCTATTTATATTATACCATACTTGATACTAGATTTCTTCATAAGATATTAGATCTCATCAGAAGAACAATTCATCAAGAGAAAAGAAATGTGGCCACAAAATGGCCATTTGTTAGTGGGCATTATGCTAAGATTTGCCTTATGGAGAGGAAATACTTTCAGGTACAGCAAAAAAAGCAGATACAGAGTACCAGGGCCATGAGTCTCGTTACTTAGTCCAAATGGGGAGACAGGTTATTGTGACTCACATTGTTTTGTTTCTTTTAAGTGTTTTTTCAGGCCCCAGGAACTAGAGAGAGTGTAAAACCAACAAACACCCTATTTTTGGTGCAACTAACTTATCTCAGGGAATACTTACTCAGATCAGTTGGCACCCATCAAAAGCAGTTTTTAAACAATGCCCCACCAAAAATAATCATAGTTTAAATGCTCAACAAAATGATGAAACACAAGCTTCTGTTCTGCTGCATGGATCTGAGTCCTCCTCCTCAGTGTTCCTCCCAGGCAGCAGCACCAGACATAAGCTCATCCCAGACTATCCCTGGCTGCTCATCCAGCAAGGAGTATTCCTCTGCAGTGATAGTCCACTAACCCCACCGCAAGCAGAGCAGAGAGTTAAGGACTACCTAGCGGAGGTTGAGAGTGGGTGAGTTATATCAACAGAACACTTATCAGTGCCCACTGATATGCAGAGAAAACATGTCATAGATAAAACTCAATCTTGTTCTCAGTGGGGTGATAATAATACAAGGAAGTGTGCAAAGCTCATGCTACATTGGTAAAGACTAGAGCAAGGCATATGTTGCAAAAGAGCACCTGCTACTAAAGAGATGGGGATGGACAGTGCGGTGTACTATGAATTCAAGCATGTAAAACGCATGCTGCTTAATTGCTAAGCGATTGCAATGTCAGCAACCTAAATGAAATACTAATTGGTCCAGGTGCCGGCTGCAGTTTGGCGCCACCTGGTGGCAACTGTCTGCTCAGACGTCCAAATACACCCTGTGGCAGGCTGAAACTTCCAAACATACCTTAGGGGATTCCAGAAATATCTACATAATTTGATGTTATCTGCCAGACTGGGAAGATTCACAAGGGCACATAGCACAGATTCAGGGACTCCCTTTCTGTCTCCCTGCTACCTGAGACAAGTACAGCCTCTCCACCACATCCCTTATCTAACCCAAGGTCAAAACTTAAACCACCACTGGTACGTTGTGGCCACCACTCTCTGGCCAGCCCCCTGGGCTCCACTCTGGAAACCAGTCCTCCTCTTCATTTCTTCAAAGTCCACTGACATGGAGTTGTTGGATGAGTCATATCTTTTTTTTTTTTTTTTTATTTATTTATTTGTTTGTTTGTTTGTTTTGTTTATACATGCACTGGGTACAGTCAGAAGCGCGGGAGGGTGAGAGAATTCACCAGAGCCAGAGCGGGGAGCAGAGCAGGCAGAAGGACCGAAGTACACTGCTGAGGGGAGCAGCGGGCGGCAGGAGAGGTCTGCGCGCCATGTGGGACCCTCCTCCGGTGGCCGGGGAGCAGCTGGGGATCGAACCGGCGCCGCAGAGGCCGCGGGCAGCTTCGCAACCCAGCGCTCAACCGCTGCGCCACCGGGGAGGCCCTGAGTCATATCTTAGAGAAGACTTTGAGGATTATAAAAATAAGAGAATTACAGCATAAAACAGGATTATAATTTCTCAAATTTACTCTCAGATATCACTTTCTAGCAGTATGTTGAACAGTCCTCACCACAGGAAATTTCTTGCTAATTGCACCCTTTTACTAGGCCTTGCTTCTTCCAATCAAAGCACTCATTCATTCTCTCTCTCTCTCTCTCTTTCTCTTTCTCTCTCTCTCTTTCTTGTCACATGTACTCTTGATATTTTCCCCATAGAGACTAATTTAACATTTTTCACTCAAATTAATCTTCTGGCTTATCCTTTCTTATCCTAAAATGCAATAAGATTCTCAGCCAAACCCAGATCCTTGTAATTTGTTCTCTTCTCTCAGCAGTATGAATCTGCAGAAGCTTTACAATTCAGGGTTTGTTTTTTTCTTTAACATATCAACCAAATAAATATTTCAGGTAGGAGTATTTTCCACCTACTCCATCCCCATCTCAGCTCTACCCCTAAGCTGACTAGGAGGAAGAGAGATATGGGTGCAGGAGCTTTGGCTTCTACTGGAGACCAGTGATTAAATGTTATTAGAACATTTCCAAATTCTGAAGCCATTCCCAGCAACACAATCTCTTCTCTCAGAACCTTTCTCTGCCCAAGAGAGCCAACCAGGAAAGAATCTGAAACAAAGGTCAGGTCCTGGGCAGATCAGTAGCATTCATCACTGAACTTCATCATGAAAGCAGATGCTGGCACAGGCCACTGAATTCACTATTCGGTATCTTCTGCTAAGCTCAGACCTGGCTACAAACAACTGAAACCATCCTCTGACTCTCTTCTTAAGAAATATGCAGGTTGGTGAATCCCTATGTTTATAGCAGCACTATTTGCAATAGCTAAGCTATGGAAACAACCCAAATGCCCAAAAATAGATGACTGGATCAAGAAGATGTGGTCCATATACACAATGGAATATTACTCAGCAATCAAAAAAGATAAACACATGCAGTCTGCAGCAACATGGATGGAGCTGGAAGGGATCATGCTCAGTGAATAAGTCAGAAAGAAAAAGAAAAATACCAGATGGTCTCACTCATAGCAGGAATTTAGAAAACCTAAATAAGGGACCAGGAAAAAGACTAATTAATACAAAGTAAAAATCAAAATCAACAAACAACTATAAACCAGAGACATACTGGTGGGGGGGGGGAGGTGCGAGGAGAGGAAGGATTAGGGTCAAAATAAGGGGGGGTGCAATTATATGGGGAATATAACCAAAATGAAAATGCATACATTGTGCAACAATGAAAAATGATGTAAGAATTATATAAAATAAAATATTAAAAAAATTTAAAAATAAAAATAAATTCACCAATTATTAATGAATGAGCAAATAAATGTATTTTCACATAAAAAAATCTCATGTAATCAATAAATGTCTGTTTAAGTTGGAAAAAACAAAGAAATATGCAGGTTGGGAATCATTTTATCCAGGAGAACTAAGTAAAATAAGAGATTTGCAAGGTAGGTTTTGAAATAACATCACTCCATTCGATGTCATTTCATTATAATGTTAATGAAAGAAACTAATCTCAGCCCACATTGAACAAGCTGCTGTTATTCTAGGAACTGGATTTGTTATATGTTGTTTCACGTAAAAAAATTTCCAGGAATCTATCAATGCCATTACTGGACTGCTATTGGTAAAAGCTGTACTTCAAAGCCACAGAAATTGAAATGGGGGTGGAGTAGACACCAGAAAGGATGAATAGATCAAGGAAACAGAATACAAGATCGGAATCAAATTCAGGTCTATCTGTATAAAGAACAAGTGCAGCTCCCAATCGGCCAGGAAAGAATGGAGCATTCAATAGCAATGCTGGGA